TTGGGGGCAATATGCTGACTCTGTAAACCGCTTAGAGAGGGCTGAAAGCCCTATGAAGCGGTATATAAGTCTAACTGCTATTGCTATTAAACAAATGTGAATTCCTTTCATTCACACTCAGCCAAGGCCTGGCAAACAGTTTTTCATAGGAGTATTTATGACCACAAAGCTTATCTAGCTTGGAAAGCGGCCATGCAAATATTTTCCCAATGAGGTGCTATGCAAGGAAAGGCTGGGCACAGAGTCTCTGAGATTCAGGGACAGATCTTCACACTCCTGAAACGAAGCTAACGACTGAATGAATGAATTGTTTGCTGCATAAGCCCACTCCCCTTTCACCCCTCTTTTATTTCCCCTGGGAGGGGCCATTCATCGTCTACCGGTGACTTTACTCCCAAGTCGATCCTGATTTCTGAGTTGTTCTTTTCTTCCAGCAGCTCTGCGCTGTGCACACTGGGAAGAGGCTCCAGATGTTCCTTGCCTCACAGCTGTCTAGCTCCGTAGGCACCTGATCACTGCCAGATGGCCTCGGCCCGCTCTCTGCCTCTGACGCAGAGCCATTGTCCAAGCCTTCCCCAGCCTCCAGGACTGGCCCATACTACCCCCAACCTCAATGTCCGACTCTGCTGCCAGGTCCGCTGGCCGCTGCCTGGCCACAACATCTGTGTTGGCCATCTGTGTGCCCAGATGTTGTGTTGGTGCAGCTGGGCGTATCAGGGGATAATTCCACAGGGTGAACCGAGTGACTTACAGATAAGTTATTGAAAAGGGAAGTTGGAATAAGAAGGCCAAGCTGTGCTGTGAGAGTGATTCACACCAGTGTGTTGTTGTTTTTTTTAACTTTTAGAGGACTAGAAACCAGGAAGGCAAGGCTGATTGCCCACGGCTGACTATGCTAGGGGTTTTTAAAGAAGGATGCAGCAGCTGATCTAAGAAAGCCTCAGTTAATCAGCAAATAACAGAGAAATTCAGTCAGGAAAGCCAGTGTGAGGGGAGGTGGGGGACATTCAAAGCCTTCTCAATTAGGTTTGTAAAATCCATAAAAAGCTCTCAGAAGCACTAATGCAATATAGTCTGTGTTTTATACATATATATGTTTGTGTGTGTTGCATTTTTGCTGATAAAAAAAATGAAGGGAGACTAGTATAGGTCTATTTCAAGCTATTTACCTCTCATCAGCCAGGCGTATATACCCTTGCTGGGATTCAAACTTGGGCTGTTTTTACATATTAGGCAGTTGTATTAACCTCTAAGCCACAACCTCTCCTCCCTTATCAGCTGACCCAGGGGAATGATTAAATGTTTTTTCTTTTGTCAAAGCACCTGGTGTGCCCAAATATAGGNCCGTCCCCGCGGGCACGACGGCCTCCGAGCCCCCCGGGATCAGCTGCCTTCGCCGCGCCGCCTGGGCGACCCTGCGCCGCTCTCCCCGCGCCCCGATCGGAAGGCAGGAATCCTCCCTGGCGGCCTTCGCGAACCGCCTTCCCCGCGGGCTTTGCGGAGGGGTTTCTCCACGTTTTGCGCTGGGTTTTCTGCAGTTCCGCCACTTTCCAGGGCTGCGGACTGCAAGTCGCAGGATCCGGGATGCGTCGCCCGCTGGCTGGGAATCCCGGGAGTTGCTAAACTCCGAGGCGGCTTCCTTCCCACGAGCCCCGGACCCCGAATATCCCCGGCCTCCCCTCCCCTCCCCGGCCCTTCCCCCTTGACCCGTGCACGAGGGTCCAGGAGGATTCAAAGGTTTGAAAGTTTTGGCTCTCCGGTTGGTCGCCTCTTTGGTGGAGTTTCGCATTCCTTCCTTTCCTCGGATCATCCCTCCGTCTGCTCCGGTCCTGTCATCGGTCCCATCCTCCTCCCTCCCGGCGTTTTAAGGCACGCAGGATGCCAGCGAAGCGAAGCAGGCGGAAGATTTAACAGATGAGTTGAAGGGGACCTTAGAGGTCATCTAGCCCAAGCAGGAGACCCTCCACCATTTCTGACAAATGACAGTTCAGCCTCTTCTTGAAAGTTTCCAGTGATTTATGATGTCTGAAAAGGCCCAGCCACGCTCCTTTTTTTTAACCATCTTAGGTTAGACATCCTGGATTTAAAGTCCTGATAGTGGGCTAATTGGGGGAAGGAATCAGCCCCCCTGTCCTTAGAAAAACCAGACAATATTAAAAGAAGCATGATTTTGAGCCACTTTTTGAGGCAAAGAGGGGTCTTGACTTAATGGATTCCCCCCTCCCCTCCCCAAGATCCTCGTGGCATCTTGGGTCAGTCAGGGGTGTCACAGACTATGGTTAAAATGAAATCAAGATAAGGCTATTTTGACGGGATGCGCATAAGAACAGCTGGAGCTTTGGTCACATCCCCATGGGTGCTGTCTGACCATTTTTTTAACCCTGCCGAAACTGCTGAGAACAGGTGAGTCTGTGGGGGCCAAAGGTTCGTGACCTGCATTCCGGGATGCACCAATACAGGACAAGTTGCAGTTCACACGGAACAACTGAATTATTGGCCAAGTGGTCTGGAGCCTCCTGCCACCTTCAACAGGGGGTGGGGGGGTAGAAAGATACCTTTTCCTCGGTTTGTGTCTGTGTGTGTTGGTTGGTCTAACTTTCAGTGCATCCACTGCCTTCCCGCTTTCACCCCCAGGCACGGAGCAATCCTCAAGGATGACGTTTGCAGGGATTCCTGCTTCCATTTTGACTTGTGGTTTTATTTCACTCTGCAAAACTGGGTCCTGGACTTTGGCCGGCCCATCGCCATGGTGAGTACCTGGGGATGAGGTTGATTGGCATGAAGGGTTCAGAGGAGGTAGAGGAGCTGCAGGCGAAGATGCACCGGGACAGAAAAATGAAGGTTCCTTCCCAAATACAGGCACTCCTGTACTTATAGCAGTTCATTTAGTCACCATTCAAAGGTTACAACAACATGTGGCTTATGTCTTTTGACTGTTGTGTGGTCAAAATTCAGATGCTTAGCAGCTGCTTCATATTTATGACGGTTGCCATGTCCGGTGTGTGTGTGTGTGTGTGTGTGTGTGATGTGATCATTTTGCAACCTTCTGACAAGCAAAGTCATAATCCCAATGGGGAACTTGGATTCACATAATAACTGTGTTACTAATTTAACAACTGCAACAATTCACTTAACAACTGTGGTAAAACAGGTCGTAAAATGGGACAAAATTAACTTAATAAATGTCTCACTGAGCAACATACATTTTGGGCTCAATTGTTGCTGTAGGTTGATGTCTGCCTGTATCCTGGCTTTAGCATTTGGGGTTCAGGTAGCCTTGTGCACTCTTGGCTGTCTAGGGTTCCATGGTGCTTCCCCCATCGAGAATTTTGAATTCGGCTTGCAGGATAACTGGCCACTGAAGTGAACTGCAGCTGACCACAAACTCCTCAGCCCCTCCCCAAAGGGGCTGACTGCTGGCCGCCTGTATGGCCCCCTTTTTTCCTCCCTTCGCCTGGAGGTGCCCTTCACCTCCCACTTGCTCGTGAAACCGGCTGAGGTTTCATTGACTTTTGCTCCTGCTCCTTGAAATAGCGTTTTGCCCTCATTCTGCCATGCTCCAAATTGCATCAAATCCATTCAGTTCTGTCATCTATTACCCGGGAGGGAAAACAAGGCGCTGCAGCAGATTGGCCGGCTGGCTGGGGAGCCGGTTCATTCTGGGAGGGGTTTCTGCTGAGCCCAAGGTGGTCGGTGGGCACTTCAGTTGAGCAGAGGGAAAAGGTGAACGCTGTTGAATGCCCAGGCGGGCCGCTTGCTCTGTTCTCCTTTTAAAATGTTTTAAAATTGTTTTAATAAAAGGGATGGTAACATGCTCCAAAACTTCCAGAATCATCTTTGTTTTCAGGAAACCCTGGAAGTAGATCAAGAATTATTCACTTTCAGTCTGATCTCTTTATCCTCATCTGACATCCTAGTTCACACGAATGTAAATCGTACAGCCCTTGAATACGCATCGAGTGTGAGATCAGAATTGTGTGTTATATACTGTTCTACAAACATGTCAACATGTCTCTTGGTTGATATGCATGTAAGGATGGTGGTGCTTTAATTTTTCAGTGTCAGCTGTTTGTCGCTGGCAAATCCTCCTCCCTATCCTGCATGCATTTGCAAAGAAGATTTGGGATTAGGATGTTTGCATTGCTCCGAGATTAATTTTCCTGGGCATTGGCTTTTGATATTGCCTCCCTCCCTCTGTCAGTCTCAGCCACACAAACACACAGAGGAAAATATCAGCAAGCAAAGGTGGCCTTTATAACCAAGCTCAACAAAAATCTGCAACAGAAAGCCCATCAATAATTAAAGGATGGCACAGTCTCCCCTATTTTGCTTTTGTGTGTGTCTCTCTCTCTGCAGATCGTGCTTCCATTGGAATGGTTTCCCCTGAACAGGCCGAGTGTTGGGGATTATTTTCACATGGCCTATAATGTCATCACACCCTTTATTCTGCTGAAGGTAAAATACTTCTTGGAATCTTTGGTTTCTTCTTGCACAAAACCATCTAGATCAGTATTCTTCAATCTTGGGAACTTTAAGGTGTCAACTCGCCTCACTGTTTGTGGAACTGTGGGATTTGAAGTCCACACATCTTAAAATTGTCAAGGTTGAGGAACACTGATCTAGATAAGGGTCAGTGGGGCCGCCCTGGAAACAGGGAAGGACCAGCCCATGATGCCTCTGCCAACAAAAATAGGCTCCCAAGCTCCGTTTTCACTGGCAGAAGATTGCAGGAGGCTGTGGCAGCCAAAAACGGGGCTTGGAAGCCCATTTTTGCTGGCAGAGCGCTCGGGCGACCACGACACGATTGATGTTAAGATGGCCACGCCCTACCTGGCCATGCCTACCTGGAGATCAAACACAACCCTGATGCATCCCTCAATGAAATCAAGTTTGACATTCCTGATCTAGATAAACACATCATGCCTCAACTTTTTGTTATCAGACTCTTAAATTCTGGTGCTGGGAGGAGAGAAGAAGCCAACTTTGGGGGGGGGGGGGTCAGATCCAAATGTGAATTTGCACAGTATGATTCCTTGCCTGGAAATCATACATTGTGATGAGCTGGTTACAGTTTGCAAGATAGTTGTGCTTACTATGAGTTTTGCCACAAGCTTTTGAAAAAAATGGGTAAGATTGAAATATCTGAAGCTGCTGATTGATGATAGATGTTCCACTAAAGATGGTCATCTCCCTGTGTTGGAATCAGGGATAGAAGTGCTCATAAGCAGAACCTTTTGGAGGTGCCTCCTTGCAGACCAGACCGTCCGTATGTCTGTGAATAGCTTAAGCTACAAACTCCTCCTCCTCCTCCTCCTCCTCCTCCTCCTC